AGGCTGCAAGGCATTATTCCAGTTTAAGTTAATATAATTTTAATGAGCACTTCAGAAAAGGGATATGGTGCTTATGGAAAATGTCCCTAATTAATATCAGACCTTAAATTAGGAATAACAAAAAAGGCAGTATCATTTGGTCTCAAGCTGGAACTCAAGTATATTTTGGCATCATTACTAACTGTTAGCAGCAAGTTCTGAAAACAGATGCAAATCCTGATATGTGTCCTAAATATAAAACACATTGCACAAAAAAGCTCAGATAAAACATATATCTGTGCACTCACACATTGATTATGGTGTGCTATTTCCTGTACTAGCAACAAATATATTCCATTTAAGAAACTTTCAGCAGTTTATTTTCTTCCGCTAATAGTTTTTAAACGTAAACTGCTAAGAGCATATGAGTTCTCTCGTCTTTTTCTGTCACAGATTTTTTCTGCCCCCCCCCCTCTTTGTCGAAAGTATTTTTTACAGATGGAAGTGATTGTAGCATAATATTAAAATAGTCATCGTCAACAACAACAACAACATATTCATGTTGTCTATTTTGGGGCTTGAATCTGGTTGTTAGAATGAGGCTAAATCTATCCAAAAACCATGACCACAATTACTGAGGCTAGAGAGCAATCTTAGAATCATAGAATTGTAGAACTGTAAGGAATCCTGGGGGCCATCTAGTTCAACTCCTTGCAGTGTAGGAATCTGCACTAAAACATCCATGACAGAAGGCCATCCGAATGCAAAGCAAGTGGAAACATGTCCGGAGCCATTCTTGGCCACACTTACTTTTCCTCCACTCCTTCCAAGCACAGTTCACAATTTAAAACTCCATGTTCAAGCGCCCTTTTTTGTCTTGGGACCTTTCCCCATGAAAACCTGCTCTTTAAAGCTCAACTGGAGCAAACATCAATCTGCGGGAAACCCAAGTTGACATTTGAGCACTAAAGAGTGGGGGGGGGGAGTTCCGGGGGGGGGGGAGATCCTGGACACAGAGCTTTTAAACACAGACTTGTGCCTGGAAAGAGCAGAGCAAAAATTAAGTGTGGATAAGCCCCCTTTTTATACTCCTGAAATGTATAAACTGCTCATTTTAAATATGCATTCTAACCTGCCAAATAATATGATTCAAACAGCAATCTGATAAAATCCTGCTGACTAGTCCCGTTGGTTTTCAGCAAGTTCCTTCCTATCATATTAACACTATTTTTACTTTCCAAAGTGCTTTATAGTCTTCATTGCATTTGCTTTCACAGCCATCCTGTATTGATTTGCCAGTCCACTAAATTACAATGCACTAGTGATGTCATGAGAGGTAAAAAAACTAAGGAAGCCTATTTTCTTTTTGAAAAGTGTATTGTGTAATCATAACATAAATATGGTTGAAATCCCCAGATAAAAGGTCAATTGAAATATTAATAAAAATCCTTTAAGTTTGGTAAGTTAATGTTAAAACGTGACAAGCTCAGGTGTATTTTCATCACCTATCTTTTTTATAAAAAAAATCTCTTCAAACATGTACAGTTTAACACTGGTTTTTATTGGTCCAAAATAGGAAGGATCAGACAACAATTAAAATTCAGTCACATTTAACAGCCAAGCTGTGACCAACTTGTACATTACTGACTACTAAGGGCAAACTTTGGGTGACATTCTGGCTCCACTGAAATCAACTCCAGAACTTTTCTTTATTTCACTGGGGCCAAAATTCTCCCCTTTACTTTAGTTTTTACTGGACTGGATTCCATTAGCTTTCCTATACTTCCTCCCTGACAAATGTACAAGGACTCTAATTGTTCACATGCATCTGTAAGTTCAGAGTTTGTTCACATCCGAGCACACAAACACCGTAACATTTTTCCAAACTATATATACACACACTGTGGTTGCCAGATGTATCATTTTAAAGATTCTTGCTTTATTCTGGAGCTTCACAGTTCAACAAAATAAAATTGATCTACCTTATGTTGCAACACTATGGCTTTCCAGGTTACTATAGCTCTGAATGAACCTTTTAGTTTTAACTAAACCAGCAGCACATTGTTTTCTGTTATGCATAGACAGTGCTATTTTTCTAGAAAAAGAGGTGCTCACCATGAGCCCCCCTCTGGTTCTCTTAGAATGGCAATGGCGCCCACCTGAGAGGGACCATGCTAACAGAAGCAACGTAGGCCAGGATTGTGCAAGAGTCTGCATATAAGAGAGTTTCTTTTCCCTTCCCAGTACAGCTCTGAAGTGCTTCTACTGATGGAAAATGACAGGGAGAGAATGAAGGACAGGGATCAAGCAAATAACACAAGCTACTGGATGAGTAGGTAGAGCAGGTTAGTTCAACAATTGGGACTGAATATGAAGTTGCTGAGCACCAAGGCAGGTGGCCAACACAGTGGCAGAATGAGACCCCAAGAAGAGCTGCTTCACACATTGGAAGCTTCTTGGCATGTCCCCAGACATCTGAAGTGAAAGAGGATGCATGTGAGCTGTGGTGGGAGGGTATCATGATATTTAATAGGGAGAATAGCCCAAGCTCTTGTTTTCTTTGAAACGAATTTAAAAACAGCAACCCAATATTGTTATAAATATACCTAAGTTTCCCAATTAATATTGTAATCACTATCAGGAATAGGAGTAAATCTGAACATGTTTTAGAGCCTCTTCTAACACTGCCATAGTGGAACAGGATTTACTAGTCCTGGTGCTTTCCCCTCGCCACAGTGTTAATGTCAGAAGTTGACATTAGCAGTCAGACGCGACGGGTTCCATCCCACATTGGGGCTGCCCAGTGAGCATGTGCATATTAGGCACTTTTAAATAATAAATGCTGGCAGTAAAAAAAGATGGAAGTGGGGTCAAATACTATGCTTTCTTCACCCATCCGCCACCCCCCACCCCCCTTTGTGAACTCTGTTTATCTACTCTGGAATTTGTATCATTTCAAATTTTACAAATACCTGTTCTCTGTTTTTAAAAAGTCAATCCTGACTTGCTTTTGGTGTAGTTCTGTGATGCTCCCTGCTCCATGAAACTCACAGCCCTGCTTCGTGAGCTCCGCATTCATCCCCCCCCCCTTCTTTTGGAAAGGGGAAAAATATATGGTGAAGAGACCCACACAGAAGAATCAACGTGGGTCGGACAAGGGAGAGACAAGGGGCTTGCTTCTGGCTTGCTCTGCTTTGATGGGAGGACTTCTAAGCACTCTGGCTCTTCCGCATGTTAGGCACTCCGGTCTGAATGCATCCTGACAAGCCAGGGCTGCAGGGCAAGAAGCTCCCACAGCTGCTGCGGCCCCAGCCAAGCCGTACCCCCCAGGTATTGCCAGTGGCAACGCTGCAAAAATAACTGATTTGACAGCCCAACCCGATACAGGCTACCAGGAGACATGAACTAAATGAATACGGCCGAAAGCTAAAACCAAGCATTTGGGGTTCAGTTCAAACAAAAACAAGTTTCACAATTAGAAGACAGAAATGGCTGGCTGGTGTTTCCAGAAGTCATGAATTCAAATCTGTCTAATTTGGACATGTATCCTAATGTTTGATGGAACACTAAATAGCTAAGATGAAAAGGATGGGCTGTTTTTTTGGGGGGGGGATTATCCACCCCTAAGATAAAAGAAATGAAAGAAACCAAGCTAATCAAATTGTATAGGTATCTTGGCTGGCGTTCAGCCTGTCAGAGATTCAGTGAAGTGAAGTTAACATTTTTTTATAGCATTGAGCTTTTTAGAGAAGGGAAAAACAAGCTAGGTGTTCACTTAGCTGGCTGGGAGTCAAACAGGTGTATGAGACGAGAGTGTGGGAGACAATCACTGAGCCTTGCCAACTTGATGTAGGGATGAGGACAGTCTACATTCTGCACACCTTAATAATGAATCATAGTGTTCCCCTTATGTTACACATAGTTCAGGCAGATGGGCTACAACTCTGTTTCCACAACTGTCTCTTTAGAGCTTCAGGGTAGCAGGATCGCCACCCTTTGTTTAGGTTCACCACATATGATAAAATACAGTAGATGATGATATTCCATGGTATGTTGCATTACAATACAGCATGAAGACTGTTTTACCTAGAGATGGATCACAGAGTGCATAAACTACTACTACTACCACTACTACTCATAATAATAATAGCACTCCACCCCAGTCACTCTGGGCGGCTTCCAACATAATAAACGCACAGCAAAACACTCAGCACTAAAAACTTCCTGATACAGGGCTGCCTTCAGATGTCTTTGTAAAGTTGTATAGTTGTATATCTCCTTGACATCTGATGGGAGGGCTTTCCACAGGGTGGACACCACCACCGAGAAGGCCCTCTGCCTCGTTCCCTGTAAATTCACTCCTCGCAGGTCAATTGTATTTACATTGCAATTCGATACTGACTTACCTGGTAGTAAGCCCCGCTGAACTCAATGTAATTTGCTTCTCAGGAAGCATGTGTTGTGTATTTCCACAAATATTTTGCTTCCTTTTTCATGAGACAATTTGTCTAATCCATTCTATAACTGCATTCTACCTCTAAATAATGCAGGTGCTGATATGGCTCTGAAGTACACAATGACTAAGCTAAGCAGCTTTCTCAAACTATTGCCTTTAGAGGAATGAATGTGAGCCTTGTACCAAGCTATTTCAGTTATGGAGACTTTTGGCTGTAATGAACGAACTAATTTATGGGAGTGAAGCAAGGCTTTCATCAAAAAGAAAGAAAACGTAAAGCTGTTTACGTAGCCCACACAGGGCAAAGAAACCCCAGCTGAATACAGCGTGAAGCAGAGCCATGAGATATTGCGCCTTCAAGGGATCATCAGACATTCAAACCACAAGGCCAAAGGAAGACAGGTTGTTGTTTTTTAATGGGGGGAGCTCATACAGCAAACCCAACAGCTTTTGCTAACCTACAAATGAGAGGAAAAACACTGCAATTGGTATGTCCCTTTTAAGCAGCCTTAGCCTTCCCTGCTTCCACCTGAGATAACTAGTGGAGTTCAAACATGGTCTTTACCTGAGAGCCGCCTGGGCACATCGGTGATGGCTGGAAGCCCCGTGCCTCTTGAGGAGGACAGGGGGGTTGTGGAATGAATGGAGGGTGAAGTCATCTGGCTCAAGTAGGAAGGGTAAGACTGGTCATAGGACCATGGAGGGGATGACTGTGCTTGTCTGGGGTCTAAAAACAAAACAAAAGAGAAAATAATTTAAAATGAAAGACTTGTCAAGAGGAGCAGCTGGTGAAATTAGAAAGCCTAAGCACCGTTTTCTCACAAAGAATGAGACTGAGCAAGTAAAAACTCCAAACATTTAGGTTGTGTTTTCTTAATGTCTCCATGGCCTATCTAATGCTGTTTGGAAGTGGCAGAATTAGTGGCAGAATTAGTGAGTCTTCCAAAGAATGAAAGCAACAGTGGGATCCTATACATGCCTACCCTGAGTACGTCCCCCTGAGTTCAATTGCGACTGAAGACATTGGAATTGGATTGTCAAAGCAATGGCTCCAGCAGGGGTGCTAAGCTCTCCTAGATCAGATCTGGGTGAGAGAATAAGGATGTTCCATAGGGGTGTTCATTTAGCCAAGATTTCCATTAAATATTCATTGAGAAAGGATGTGCAAGGAGATGATGGAAAGTGCAAGTAATTGTGGAGAAAATTGCTGATTACTGGGAAAACTGATGTGAACATCTTCAGGACCACAGAGAAGCTGAGAGAAGAGATTTCAGAGTGAGGTGATTTCAGTCACTGTTCCAGAAGTGTTTGATATCTTGAATCTTCTGACAGAGTTTACTCACAACATGGATACTGTAGATCTCCAAATGGAATAACACTTTTATCCAAAAGAACTAACTCGTATCTCGGCAGAATAATTTATATTAGAAGAACTACAGGTGTGGAGATAAGAGAGGCAAAAGTCTAGGCTTCCCGCTCCCGCTTAAGACAACCCTCTGGGAAAAATATCTAACTTCTTGGAAACCTATCTTCAGCCAGGATTCCTGGGGAAAGCTACAATGCAAAATCAAACTAGTAGCAATGCTTTGGAAATGAATGCTTCATCCAAAAGCTGGATCATGTGACAAAATAAGATAAAAGCAAAAAACATTCTAGATCATGCAAAAGCATACTTTAACTTATAATGCTGCTAATTCAAATTTTTTATGAGAAGCAAGGGTGTTTGATGTACAATGTTTTTTGCTACGTATTGTTATTAATCAAATATTTTCTTTAAAAAATCATATAATAATATGCCCAAACATAAACAGATTTGAAGTTTCTACCACAGCAAATTGTCTTTCCACTAAAAATGTGGCTTGCCTCTTCAAGCAGTTTAAGGAACTGTGAAAAATTAAGTAAAACACAAGGCTAAGCAAGTTCTCCATCATGCATATATACAGTATATACACAGACTGCGGGCACTATTACAATTTAACCATCTACATTTTATTTTGCTGTTCTGCTGCTAGCTGAAAGCTCTGTTACTATCAGTATTATCTTGCATTATTTCCTTTGAGGGTGGAAGATGGTGGGGAAGTTATCAGCATAATACGAAAGGCCTTCCCGCGTGGCCGGAAGTGTTTCCACAGAGTCCTCTCACTCAGTCGTGCCTATAAAGGCTGCCTGGTGGGACTTCTCTAGGGATTCAGACAAGGGTTTGTGCAGCCCCCCCTGGAGATACTGGGAACGGAGTTTGGGACCTCGTGCAAGCAAAGAAGGTGATCTGCCAGTGAGCTATACCTTTTCCCACAAAAGTCATTCAGATAAGAATGTGCCATTAATTCCTCTAGTTATTTGACTGGGGGAAAAGTCATTTCTGGATGTACGCTCCATTACCTATAACTCAGCATAAGGCTGATATACACCACCCTGGTTTCCACTAAGAACTCCAAATGGGATTCCCCCTGGCAATACCCACTAAATAAAGGTAAAGGTAAAGGACCCCTGGACGGTTAAGTCCAGTCAAAAGTGACTGGGGTTGTGGTGCTCATCTCACTTTCAGGCCAAGGGAGGCAGTGTTTGTCCACAGACAGCTTTCCAGGTCATGTGGCCATCATGACTAAACTGCTTCTGGCACAACGGGACACCATGACAAAAACCAGAGCACATGGAAACGCCGTTTACCTTCCCACTGGAGCGGTACCTATTTATCTACTTGAACTGGCGCGCTTTCAAACTGCTAGGTTGGCAGGAGCAGGGACAGAGCTCACCCCGTCATGCAGATTCAAACCACCAACCTTCTGATTGGCAAGCCAAGAGGCTCAGTGGTTTAGACCACAGCACCACCCATTAAATGCCCTGCTTTGAACTGAATGATTCTTAATATGTATTTTCTACATAGATATATATTTATCTGGGTTGCAGTGGGTAAGAGAAGGAAGAATACAATGAAGTTGGCAAACAGGTTCTTTTGCAATGTTATTTAGTGATTTACTGATGAAAACAGGATTTCCTCTTCAACATTTATGTTGTTTACTTTATATTGCTTACAAATCAAAAATATATCCTACTTTAAGAGAAATTGCTTTCTGACATCTGTGCCTCTGGAGTCTTATGGGCATAGTAAACACGTATCAGTCTATATACTCGTACTTTCTACTCTTTGTAAAGCAGCAAACCAATTCTGGCTTAACTGTATCTTTGAACAGAGGTTCCCAGCCTCTGTTTTGTAAAATAGTAATATGATAACTAGATGGCAGAAGAAACAAACCCTTGTCAGGAAATCCATCTAATTATAAGAAAATCCTCTTTCTCCCCTTCTGTATAGAAAAACCTTGATGTTTCTGCCATTCCCCCCGCCCCCGTTAAGACATGATTTGTTTGAAGAGATGTCTGGAACTCTGATACTTCCCAAAGCAAAAAATAACTGTATATCAGATATATGAAGGAGGCAGGGAAGTCTTTCATTTTAATTTTGTTAGGATTTAATTTACAGTAGGGCTATCTCATATAAATGCTTGACCAACGAAAAACACCACTCCAAACTCAAACGGGTGCTTTCTAAATGCAGTGAACTTCTTCAAGCGCGTAGGGACTGGCATTATATTTACTCTTAACTGCATGTTAAATAACAACAATAACACAACAAACTATCTAGAGAAATGTAAATAATTTTACATTATTTTTTAACAGATGTTCCTCTGATTTGGCAGAGAATTATTCTGGGCAACGAAAGCAAGCTGACAAATTAGCAATGGGCCGCAACAAGCATTTAAAGGGATTTTAGGGACCCACAAGACACTGAGGTCCAAACTGTGTATTCTCATTATGACTTCAAGCCAAATAAAGACCATATAGGAATCTAAATTGCACCGCAGGATGTTAAGTATAGTGATTTATTTGACTTAAATTGGGAATGCTTAAATGCATTGCTGTGCATTTAATTCTGGAATGTTCCCCAGTAACTCTCGTGGGATTGGTTAACTCTGGTCACTAGGGAGGGATCTTACTACATTTTCCACTTTGCGTTCTGTGTGAGTGACTGGACTGTGTTGGCTGCATTTCCATGAACACTAAAGAAGAGACTGTGCTAGATAACTCTCTCTCTCAATGCAACACAGGAGTGCTGATGTTTCTGTGTGAATGCATGTGGCAGAAAGAGGTACAGAAGTTGATGTTCTCCCAAAGAACCAGGAAGGAGAAGCTCCCCCCCCCGGGGTACTCAAGTGTACGCAGTACTGGCCCCTCTTTTTGTTGTTGTTAAAAAGTGTGGCACCCACTGCAGCCACTTCATGGTGAGTATGGAGACCTATTTTTCTAGGGGGGAACCTTTTGCTCTCCGAAGGCTGGGGCATGTGCCCTGGGAGCAGGCACACATTTATTCATGGAGAATGAGTGTGAATGAGAGAATGACAAAGTGGAGCCGACCTCACCTCAAGCAACATGTCAGCCCAGTGTGTGCATCAGCCTTGCAATGTGTCCAGGAACAACCCTCAGCAACAGAGACGTAGCTTCTGTGCAGTAACCTGTCCCCTGGCGGCTGCAGTCATGGCAGTTAACAGACAGCCATCATAGCCCTTCTGACAACAGATGGATGCTACCGTCTCCTGACTGGTACCTTGCTGCACACTTGATTCTTCACAGACAAGGGAAATATCTGATGATTTCCAGTGTAAGGCTTCAGATAGTGGACTTCTTCATTCATTCTTCATTGGGACATCCATCATAAATTACGGGTCAAATCTGTTTTCAGTATGATATGTGTCATCTGTGCACCAGGAATGGATTGGGGGGGGCAGCAAAAGGGGGCATGTGCTCCATGTGACAGGTTGCTGTGGGGGGGGGGGGAGAGACCAAAATTTCCAACTAGCTGGGAAGCAGTAAGAAGCTTTCCCCAACTGATTAGCTCATTCCAAGGGCAGGGAGCTGCTTCTCCTCATCCTCCCAACCGGCACCAGAGGGAGGTCAATGGTTGTTGCTGCTCAGCAACTGAGATACAGGAGTGGCAGGGCTGAGCAGGGCAAACATGCCAAAGGGAGGTGGAGGTGGAACTAAACTGGCTTAGGCTTTGTAGTGATTCTGCTTTGATTTGTTATTGTTCATTATTACATTTTTTCCTACTACACTACTGTTGGTATACACCTGTTTTTCTAGCTTCCATACTTATTATTTATTTCAAACATACAAAGTGCTTCACATGCCGTATCTAGCTGCAGTCCTTACAACAACCCTATTAGGCAGGAATGAGGAACCTCTGAGCCACCAGCCCAGCACCCCTGACTATTGGCTGTGATGGCTGGGGCTGTGAGGGGAGTGCAAGACTCCCCCCCCACACACACACACAGTGCAGGTTGGTGCTTGTGTTGGGGGCTGAAGCTGACAGAGAGCATCTTGCCTAAGGCCTCTGAATGAAATCATGGCAGAGCCAAAATGTGAACTGTGGACGTCTTGATTTATAGCATGGTCTCTTATTAGCACAAAAATTCCTAACCCTGACCACTTCTGACCTCCTGCAATGGAGTGTTCATCCCCACCCTATTTTTTTAAAGTCATAAAGAAAAGTCAGCACCACCCTATTCAGCTATTTTGTTAAATCTTTATTTTTAATTGCTTTGTATTCTTTAGAATCTGTGCTCTCTCCCATCTGGAGCACACATTTATTTAAAAATTTTAAATATGTGCCTGAATAGCAAACAAGACTCTTTCCCCTATCCCTCAAACCAGGGGTCTGCAACCCGCGGCTCC